AAGAATATCATGGACTTGCAGTTAAGTAGGACAAATAAACCATCCATGCACACATATTAATCTTTGCTCTCTCCTGAAATTACACTAAAATTACAATAAAGGGATAAAATAGCTTGAAGTTACAAGATTAAAGAACAGGATATGGCCGGGCGCGGTGGCTCAAGCCTGTAATCCCAGCACTGTGGGAGGCCAAGGCGGGTGGATCACGAGGTCAAGAGATCGAGACCATCCTGGTCAACATGGTGAAACCCCGTCTCTACTAAAAAAATACAAAAAATTAGCTGGGCATGGTGGCGCGTGCCTGTAATCCCAGCGACTCAGGAGGTTGAGGCAGGAGAATTGCCTGAACCTGGGAGGCAGAGGTTGCGGTGAGCCGAGATCGCGCCATTGCACTCCAGCCTGGGTAACGAGCGAAACTCCGTCTCAAAAAAAAAAAAAAAAAAAAAAAAAGAAATTGCAGGTGTTAGTATTTTGAAAACGGTGAGACTAAAAACAGAATTGACTGAAATCTGTTAACCTAAATCTATCCCCCAGATTATTCTAGCATTTTTTATCTTATTTTTCATTTTTCTTTTTTTGAAACAGGCTCTTGCTCTGTCACCCAGGCCGGAGTGCAGTGTGCAATCATGGCTCGCTGCAGCCTCAACCTCCTGGGTTCAACAATCCTCCTGCCTCAGCCTCTCCTCTCGAGTAGCTGGGACTACAGGTGTGTGCCACACCCAACTAATTAAAAAAAAAATGTAGCAATTAAGTCTCACTGTGTTTCCCAGACTGGTCTTGAACTCCTGGGCTCAAGTGATCCTCCTGCCTCCTAAAGTGCCAGCATTCAGACGTGAGCCACCATACCAAGCCCTAGGGTTTTTCTTAATATGCCAGCTTTTCAGTGCTTCTTGATAGAGCGTGTGAGCTGATATAAACTTTTTTTTTTTTTTTTTTTTTTTTTTTTTGAGATAGAGTCTCACTCTGTCAACCAGGCTGGAGTGCAGTACCGTGATCTCAGCTCTTTGCAACCTCCATCTCCCGGGTTCAAGCGATACTCCTGCCTCAGCCTCCTAAGTAGGTGGGACTGTAAACATGTGCCACCATGCCTGGCTAATTTTTGTATTTTTAGTAGAAATGGGGTTTCAACACATTGTCCAGGTTGGTCTTGAACTCGTAACCTCAGATGATCCACCTGCCTCAGCCTCCCACAGTGCTGGGATTACAGGCATGAGCCACCACACCCAGCATGATACAAACATCTTGATTATGTAAAAGATTTGTTAAGACTGGGTGTGGTGGTTCATGCCTGTAATCCCAGCACTTTGGACAACCCAAATGGGTGGATCTCTTGAGATCAGGAATTCAAGACCAGCCTGGCCAACGTGGTGAACTCTGTCTCTACAAAAAATTCAAAAAATTAGCCGAGTGTGGTGGTGTGTGCCTGTAGTCCCACCTACTCAGGAGGCTGAGGTTGGGGGATCTCTTGAGCCAGGGAGGTGAAGGTTGCAGTCAGCTGAGATTATGCCATTGTACTCCAGCTTGGGCAACAGAGCAAGACTCTGTCTAAAAAAAAAAAAAGATAAATGGAATAAAGTAGCTTGATTACCATTTGATGGTTCAAGTCTGTGTGTGAATTGAGGGGAATCATGAGAATCTTTCTTGCCTAAATAAGCAAAATAAACTAAAAAGTTAAGGACAATGAATGTACAAGATTCAAACCAGCCTTAAGAATTAAGACCAACCAAATTGGGGCATTAGGTTTGTGCTTTGAAGCACCCCTTCTGCTCCAAATTAATAAAAAACTATAGAGAAGGCCAGGCGCGGTGGCTCTTGCCTGTAATCCCAGCACTTTGGGAGGCCAAGATAGGCGGACCACGAGGCCACAAGATCGAGATCGTCTTGGCCAACATAGTGAAACCCTTTCTCTACTAAAAAAAAAATACAAAAATTAGCTGGGTGTAGTGGTGCATGCCTGCAGTCCCAGCCACTCGGGAGGCTAAGGCAGGAGAATCCCTTGAACCAGGGAGCTGGAGGTTGCAGTGAGCTGAGATTGTGCCACTATACTCCAGCCTGGTGACAGAAGGAGACTCCATCTCAAAAAAAAAAAAAAGTATATGTGTGTGTGTGTGTGTGTGTGTGTGTGTGTGTGTGTGTGTGTATATATATAATATATAAAAGCTAAAAAAACATTCTCACATTAAAAAAATGAATAGGTGACAATGAAGATTAGTCTCCCTATGGACCTGCTGTGGAGCAAAAGTGCAAGACAGTGAGCAGGACCAAAGCTGTGGTCCTGCTGGCCTCCACTAGACATAGGCCACAAGGCCAAGAGTTGGTTTCCTGTGGAAGTGCAGGACTAAAGGTGTGTTCCACCCAAATTAACCCAAGACTAGGCTTTACCATTTGATGCTGGGGTTGCTTCTGGTAAGAATGAATCTTAGCCCGGGCGCAGTGGCTCACGCCTGTAATCCCAGCACTTTGGGAGGCTGAGGTGAGTGGATCACGAGGTCAGGAGTTCGAGACTAGCCTGGCCTACATAGTGAAACTCTTTCTCTACTAAAAATACAAAAATTAGCTGGGCATGGTGTTGAGCGCCTGTAGTCCCAGCTACTTGGGAGGCTGAGGCAGAAGAATCGTTTGAACCCGGGAAACAGAGGTTGCAGTGAGCCAAAATCGAGTCACTGCACTCCAGCCTGGGCGACAGATCAAGACTCTGTCTCAAAAAAAAAAAAAATCCATAGCTATGTTAACCGAAATAGATTAAATATACTTATTAAGACAGAGGTACAGATTGGGTAAAAAATAAAATCCAGTTCTGTGCTGCGTAGAAGAGACATACAAGCATAATACCATCAGAAATGTTGACATGAAGGGAAAGGTGAAAAGAAAGCTTTTCTGGCAACGTTAATGTCAGGCAAAATAAAATTTAAGGTTAAACTGTTAGGATAAAGATGGACATAATAAAAGCGGTGATATATCGAGAAGCTTAAACATTCGTGAGTAGATGTACATTTAACAATGTAAACTGAAAAATATAAAGTCAAAATTTATAAAATTATGAGGATGAATTTGGCAAATCTAAAATCAAAATGGGAGAATTGTAGGCATATATCTATTAGACCTTAATAGATCTAACAGTCACAATAAGATTAGGGAAGATTTGAGCAACACTATTAACAAGGGTTATTTATTAAGTACAGTTGAACTTTGAACAACATGGAGATTGGGGGCACTGACCTCCTGCACAGTTGAAAAATGAGTATAACTTTTGATTCTTCCAAAACTTAACTCCTAGTAGCCTTTTGTTGACCAGAAGCTTTACTGATAACATAAATAGCCAATTAACACATTTTATATGTCATATGTATTATATATTGTATTATTACAATAAAATAAGCTAGAGAAAAGATGTTATTAAGAAAGCCACAAGGAAATGAACATACGTTTACAATTTATTAAGTGGAAGTGGCTCATTAAAAAGGTCTTCATCCTTCGTGGTTTTTTGTTTTGTTTTGATTTTTTGTGAGACAGAGTTGTGCTCTGTCGCCAGCGTACAGTGGTGCAATCTCAGCTCACTGCAACCTCTGTCTCCCGGGTTCAAGTGATTCTCCTGCCTCAGCCTCCCAAGTAGTTGGGATTACAGGTACGCATCACCATGCCCAGCTAATTTTTTGTATTGTTAGTAGAAATGGGGTTTTGCCATGTTGGCCAGTCTGGTCTCAAACTCCTGGCCTCAAGTGATCCACCCACCTAGGCTTTCCAAAGTGCTGGGATTATAGGCGTGAGCCACTGCTCATCTTTATGTTGAGTAGGCTGAAGGAGGAGGAAGAAGGTCAGTCTTGCTGTCTCAGGTGGCAGAGGTGGAAGAAAATTCATTTGTGAGTGGACCTATTCAGTTCAGACCTGTGTTCAAGGATGAGGTATATACAGTATGCCATAGCTATGTAAGATGTTTGCATTAGGGGAAAGTGGATGAAGGATATACAGGAACTCTTTGTTGGTAACTTTTCTGTAAATCTAAAATTATTCCAAAATAAAACAATTATTTTTAAATGATAATATACACATGTAAAACAGAAAATAAAGGTTAGAGGATAAATTAAGATGAGTAAGGGCTGGGCAAGGTGGCTCATGCCTGTAATTCCAGCACTTTGGAAGGCCGAGGCAGGGGGATCTTGAAGTCAGGAGTTTGAGACCAGCCTGACAAACATGGTGAAACCCTGTCTCTACTAAAAATACAAAAGTTAGCTGAGCATGGCGGTGCACACCTGTAATTCCAGCTATTCAGGAGGCCGAGGCAGGAGAATCACTTGAACCCGGGAGGCAAAGGTTGCAGTGAGCAGATCCAGCGCCACTGCATTCCAGCCTGAGTGATAAGAGCGAAACTCGGTCTTAAAAAAAAAAAAAAAAAAAATGCCCAGCGAGGTGGCACACGCCTATAATCCTAGCACTTTGGGGGGTTGAGGTTGAGGCTGGTGGATAACCTGAGGTCAGGAGGTCGAGACCAGCCTGACATGATAGAACTCCATCTTTACTAAATACAAAAAATTAGCTGGGCGTGGTGGTGCCTGCCTATAATCCCAGCTACTTGGGAGGCTGAGGCAGGAGAATCGCTTGAACCTGGGAGGCAGAGGTTGCAGTGAGCCAAAATCGTGCCATTGCACAGTAACCTGGGCAGCAAGAGCGAAACCCTGTCTCAAAACAAACAGAAAAATGAATGGGAGACACAATGTTTTGTGATAAATGAGTTCTTTAAAGGGCGTGTTTCAGTGTTCCCTATTTAATGTTGCAAGATTGCCTTCATAGATACTTTTTGTGTTTATCTGTTGCCTAAATTATTTCCCATTCATATCCTTGCTTTTACTCATTAATGTTGAAATTCAGTGCTTGTAATATCTTTGAATTCTAACATGTAGACATATATGTGTGCATATATACATTCATTTAAATTTTTTAAAAGATTTACTTTTGTTTGGAGCCATTTTAATTCTGGAGTAAAAAAGATGTCTTTTTCCTAGAACGTCCTATACCCTTTGATCATATGATGTATGAACATCTTCAGAAATGGGGGCCACGGAGGGAAGAAGTGAAATTTTTCCTTCGACATGAGGACTCCCCAGCTGAAAGCAGTGAACAAGGTAGATAAATGCTTTCTTCCTCATTTGTTAATTTTTGCTAGAAAAGTTAATTTAAGAAAAATAGGAATAAATATTACATTATTCACACTTCCACCCCCACCCCCGCACTTGCAAGTGGCTAGAGGGAAAGTTGGTATCTCATGTTTCTTTGGCTTCTGTTAGTGTTGTTTACCATTATGTCACTCTCTTTTTTTTTTTTTGAGATGGAGTTTCACTCAGTTACCCAGGCTGGAGTGCAGTGGTGCAGTCTTGGCTCACTGCACCCTCTACCTTCTGGGTTCAAGGGATTCTCCTGCCTCAGCCTCTCAAGTAGCTGGAATTACAGGTGCCTGCCACCATGCCCATATAATTTTTGTATTTTTAATAGAGATGGGGTTTCACCATGTTGGTCAGGCTGGTCTTGAACTCCTGGCCTCAAGTGATCTGCCTGCCTCAGCCTCCCAAAGTGCTAGGATTGTAGGTGTGAGCCACTGTGCCCAGCCAATTGCATTACACTTGTTAGGCACCAACCCTTCCTTCCTTCTCAGGACTCTAAGTTAATTAAACAGTGTACTTAGGCCAGGCACAGTGGCTCATGCCTGTAATCCCAGCACTTTGCAGGGCTGAGACAGGCGGATCATGAGGTCAGAACATTAAGACCATCCTGGCCATGGTGAAACCCCATCTCTACTAAAATACAAAAAGTTAGCCGGGCGTGGTGGTGCACGCCTGTAGTCGCTTCAATCTGGGAGACAGAGGTTGCAGTGAGCTGAGATCCTGCCACTGCACTCCAGCCTGGCGAAAGAGTAAGACTGTGTCTCAAAAAAAAAAAAGTAAACAGTGTACCTAGACATATAAAGGGACTTGGTATTTAAAGGGATTGCTTTTGGTAAATACCAGATAGGTCAAACATCTAGATTTTAAAAACATATAAAACCATGAAAGGATTAGAAAAAAGTTCTGGGAGATCTTATTTTTTAAAGTGAGCAAGGCCTTTGGAAGTGTGACACTAAACCATAAAAGACAAGACTGATAAATGAATTATTTAAAACAATGGCTGGACACAGTGGCTCAGGACTGTAATTTCAGCACTTTGAAAGGCTGAGGCAAGTATATTACTTGAGCCCAGTAGTTCAATACCATCCTGGGAAGCAATGTCAAAACTCTATCTCTACAGAAAATACAAATATTAGCCGGTTGTGGTCGTGTATGCCTGTAGTCCCAGCTACTTGGGAGGCTGAGGTGAGAGGACAGTTGAGCCCAGGAGGTGAAGGCTGTAGTGAGCCATGATCATGCCACTGTATTCCATCCAGCCAGGGCAGAAAGAGGCAGAGAGAGACCCTGTCTCAAAAATAAAAATAGGCTGGGCGTGGTGACTCACGCCTGTAATCCCAGTATCTGCCAAGCCGGGCAGATCACTTGAGGTCAGGAGTTGGTGACCAGCCTGGCCAACATGGTGAAACCCCATCTCTATTAAAAATTAGCCAATATAGTGGTGCTCACCTATAATCCCAGCTACTCTGGAGGCTGAGGCAGAAGAATCACTTGAACCTGGGAGGCAGAGGTTGCAGTGAGCCAAGATCACGCCACTGCATTCCAGCCTGGGCAACAAAAATAAAACAAAACCAGAAATAACTGCATGGCAATAACCATCTAAAAAAAGTCAAAAGATAAATTATAAACTGGTAAATAGCATTTATAGCTCACATTGCAGAGGGCTAATTCCCTTTACATGTAAAGAGTTCCTAAAATTTGGTAAGAAAAAACTTAGTAGAATAATAGGAAAAACATGCAAATATAGTTCACTGAAAAGAAAATATACATGGCCCTAGGATATATGAAAAGATACTCACCTTATTTCTAGTAAAAGATGTGCAGAGAAAACTGTCTTGAAATAGTATATTTTACCTGTCACATTGGCAAAGATTAGAACAGCTAATAGCACAGCGTTGACAAAGATGCTGAGAAACAGACAGTCTTCTGCATTGCTGTGGGAGGCAGTTGGCATCTTCTGGAGACGGAAACTTGGCAGTAGCTGTTAACCTTACAAAACATAAAACCTTTAACCCAGCAGTTTCGTTTCTGAGAATTTATCCTAAAGCTGTGCCCTGACACACACAAAATGATATATGCACAGGGTTATTCACTGAGCATTGCTGGTAGAAACAACCTAAATGCGCACCAGGAGAGTTGAGCTAGATAAATTAGGGTCCGTCCACACAGCAGAATGCTCTGCAGCCATAAATCACAAAGAACCTCTGTGCCCTTACCCAGACCATCTCCTGAACACGTTAAATGAATTAAGCGTGGTGCAAAAGAGTGTGCACACTGAGCTGCCTTTTGTGGAAAGATGATCAAAGAGCTGTGTGCATGTGTGCCTGCTTGTGTGTGTATATGTATAAAGCAGTTTTGAAAGATACCTAAGAAACTGGGGTTGTTGCTGGCCTGAGGGAAGGGAAAAGTGGCTGTAGAACAGAGGAGAGGGAGGGTTGTTAATTGTATACTTTTTTGTTCCTTTTGATTTTTGAACCATGGGAATATACTATGTGTTTTTGAATTAAAATTTAAAGAAAATAAGGAAATTTTTTTCTGAACACATATGCACTGTACAGTTAAAAGACCTTTGTTATTTAACGGTGATTATGGATTACTTCTGATATTTAAAAAAATGAAATCAAATAAAAGGACAGTCCTTTGTAAAAATAATATTTCTGTATTGCAAGTTATCTCCCTTTATTTGCATTTTATAGTAAAGGAAAATTTGCCCTTGGATGAGCTACTGTCTATTTTAAAATCATCTTTCTGTAGCTATAAATATTGTTATAGGGCTGTCTTTTAGAATACACCGTTACACCTGGAGCCAGGACACCAAGGCTCTGGGCTCAACTCTTCATCTACTTTTACTTTAGACAAGGGTCCTTCCTCTCTGAGAACATCCCCCTGAAGTGGAAGATTAGACTGACAGTTAAAGTGCTGCTTTAGTGCTAAGGACTTATTTTAACTCTCTACCTGAGCTCTCCATATACCTATACCCTCCCTCACCTAGCTATACTTAAATAAAAAGTCTTTCCTTTTACTTGTTAATGTGTACATAATCCTTAATGTCCTGGGGAGAGGGGTTATTTTTTTCTTACTTTTTCAAGTTTGGAAATGGGCAGGGTACTATGGCTCACTCCTGTAATCCCAGCACTTTGGGAGGCTGAGGCGAGAGGATTTCATGAGCCCAGGAGCTGCATATTCATTCTCCCTTTCATGCCCCGACTCCGAATCCCATCTTTCCCACCTGTAACGCTCTACTCTCTGCCCCTTTACCCCTGCCTAAAAGGGTGGCATAGAGAGTAGCTCAGTGGGTGCTGTTTCATGTTTTGTTTTGTTTTTGCTCACTAAACTTCTCCCTTCAGCTTTTTTTTGTTTTTGTTTTTGTTTGAGACAGGGTCTCTCCCTTTCGCCTGGGCTGGAGGGCAGTGGCACAATCACAGCTTACTATAGCCACCAGCTCGCGGGCTCAAGCAATCCTCCCACCTCAGCCTCCCAAGTAGCTGGGACTACAGGCGTGTATCATGCCTAGCTAATTCTGTTGTTGGTTTTGTTTTTGTTTTTGATAGAGACAGGGCTTTGCCATGTCACCCAGGCTGGTCTTGAACTCCTGAGCTCAAGCGATTTGCCCACCTTGGCCTCTGAAAGTGCCAGTATTACAGGCATGAGTCACTATGCTTTGCTCCAGCTTATTTATATTCTAAGGAGCCAGAGTTTAGAGCCCAAGACTCAAATTTTCTGCTGAGGGCAAGGCAGTTGTCACAAACTAGTATTGTTTAAAGGGGATTACGCTTGAGTTTATTGTGTGTAGAACTATAAGAAATAAGAAGTAAAAGACTTTCCTCAAGTAAAAGGGTGGGAAGCTGGAGGAGAATGTAGAGGACCTTTCAACCCCATCCTACACTTTGGGAAATAGAAGCTTAGAATGGTCAAGTAACTCAATGAAGATCGTACAACCAGCTTACAACCAGAGCACAAACTAAAACTTGAAAGGTGATGTGATGGAGTTAGGATCGAGGCCATCTGGCTGCAGTCTTGGACCTGCTGTTTACTTAGGATGGTACCATGGCAGGTGACTTCACTTCCTTGTGCCTCGACTTCCTTGTCTGCAGGGTGTACAGGGCCTCATAGAGGTGTGGTGAGGGTCAAGTATGTACTTGTGAAGTGGTTAGAGGGAGCTTGGTGTGTGGGAAGTGCTCATTAAGTGTCTATTCTTATTTTCTGACTGAAATGCAAGATCATCAGGTTTCTTTTTTACCGTCGAAGATTAAGTGGCTTTTGGTATAATGGTAATGTTGTGTGTTCGTAATATTTTAATTTCTTGATAGTTTGGTGTTTGGAAGAGGTAGCAATTGAAGAATGTTAAATTAATCTCAACACTTTGTTCCCTTAAAACACTAAGAATAACTAAGAGATCAATTTACCCTATAAACTGATAGGTGCTATAGGTTTTATAATCTCTTTTTTTACTATTGTTCCCCTTAAGGAGACTTTTTGGAAGTTATGTTTTTACTCATCCCCCATCCCTCCTCCATCAGATAGCCTATGTATCATTTATATACTATACATTTTGCTTTATACATAAAAAGTAATTTTTTATTTTACCCCATAAGAATCACTTTGTGTCCCTTGTGGGCAGCAATATCACCATCTTGGAGAATTCATAGTTTAAGGTGAATCAGTACTTCTGTAATAGGATTTTTCTTCAGTTTTTAAGTGTAATATGAATGGAATAAAAGAAAAAAATGCTTTTTTGGTTTTTTTTTTTTTTTTTTTTTTTTTTGAGACAAAGTCTCAATCTGTCGCCCAGGCTGGAGTGCAGTGGAATGATCTCAGCTCACTGCAACCTCTGCCTCCTGAATTCAAGCGATTCTCCTGCCTCAGACTCCTGAGTAGCTGGGGTTACGGGTGCCTGCTACCATGCCCAGCTAATTTTTAGTAGAGATGGGGTTTCATCATGTTGGCCAGGCTGGTCTGCGAACTCCTGACCTCGTGTTCTATCCACCTCAGCCTCCCAAAGTGGTGGTATTACAGGCGTAAGCCACCGTGCCCAGCTTAAACAACTTTTTATAAAAAAGAATAATGGTAAGACCATTTTTTTCAGCTGTACTAAGTCTTGATTTTCTCAGCCTGGTGTTTTACATTTGTGTTCAATAAATATTTGAATAAATGAAGAAATGGGAGAATATTACATTTTTCTAATATGCCTTTTGGTGAATTTGGTTCTTTTGTTTCTTTAGGTGGCCGTCAGACCCAAGAGCAACGAACTCAGAGAAATGTAATAAATGTACCTGGAGAAAAACGCACCGAAAATGGGGTAAGTGATAATGAATGAAATTGAATTTTAAAAATTAAAGGCTAGATGAAGGGGGTTACACCTGCAATCTCAGCACTTTGGGGGGTCAAGGTGGGAGGATCACTTGAGCCCAGGAATTCAAGGTCAGCCTGAACAAGATGGTGAGACTGGTGGTCTCTCTATATAAAAGGTTTTTAAAAATTAGTCAGTTGAAGCCAGGCACAGTGGCTGACGCCTGTAATTCCAACACTCTGGGAGGCCGACGTAGGCTGATCACGAGGTCAGGAGTTCAAGACCAACCTGGCCAATATGGTGAAACCACATCTCTACAAAACATACAAGAATTAGCCGGGTGTGGTGGCATGTGCCTGTAGTCCCAGCTACTCCGGAGGCTGAGGCAGGAGAATAACTTGAATCTGGGAGGCAGAGGTTGCAGTGAGCCAAGGCCGCACCCCTGAACTCCAGCCTGGGCAACAAGAGCGAAACTCTGTCTCCAAAAAAAAAAAAATTGGTCAGATGTGGCCAGGTATGGTGGCTCACACCTGTAATCCCAGCACTTTGGGAGGCCGAGGCAGGCAGATCACCTGAGATCAGGAGTTCAAGACCAGTCTGGCCAACATGGTGAACTCATCTCTACTAAAATATAAATATTAGCTGGGTATGGTGGCAGTTGCCTGTAATCCCAGCTACTTGGGAGGCTGAGTCAGGAGAATTGCTTGAACCTGGGAGATGGAAGTTGCAGTGAGCTGAGATTACGCCATTGCACTCCTCCAGCATGGGCAATGAGCAAAACTCTTGTCTCCAAAAACAAAAAAATAAGATGTGGTGGCATGTGCCTGTAGTCCCACCTATTCAGGATGCTGAGGCAGGATGATCACTTGAGCCCTGGAGTTGAAGGCTGCAGTGAGCCATGATTGTACCACTGCACTTCAGCCTTGTCAACAGAGGAAGACCCTGTTCTTTAAAAAAAAGAAAATGCTTTTTACTGGTTCTAATGAGTTTGGGTTATAACTTATTTTTAAATAATTATTTTTGGGATAGATATTGTCATTTCTATTGAATATTTCAAAATATTATATGAAGTATAAAGCAGCAGTCACTGAGTGGTGTTACCTATTCACATGAAGGTCCATGAACCAGATCACGTCTCCTTTGGAGCAGACAGTGGGTGCCTCTCTGCACATAACCACGGCATCTCTGTGGTGGCAGATAGACCATGGGCTTAGACTGTAGACTAAGAGTGGAGCAGACTGACTTGCTTTGCATCTTCGGTGTTGGTTCTGGATCCTCTCTCAGGTTTTGGCAGACACAATGGATGGTGGGCTGCAGTATCTTCTTCCATCATTGTGTGATAGACTTAGAGAATAGATAGAATGCTGATCATAGGTGATGGGAGCTGTGGAGGAGCTCTTTGTAAGAAATGTTAGTGTTGGCTGGGCCAGGTGGCTCACAGCTTTGGGAGTCTGAGTTGGGTGCATCACCTGAGGTCAGGAGCTTGAGAACAGCCTGACCAATATGGTGAAACCCTATCTCTACTGAAAATACAAAAATTAACCAGGTGTGATGCATGTGCCTGTAGTCTCAGCTATTCGGGAGGTTGAAGGTTGCAGTGAGACGAGACTGCACCACTACACTCCAGCCTGGGCAAGAGAGTGAAACTCCATCTCAAAAAAAAAAAAGAAAAAAGAAATCGGTATGTGTTCAAAGAATGAGCCAATAGGGACATTTTTATTTTATTTTATTTTATTTTTTTTTATTTTTTTTTTTTTTTTTTTTTTTTCTGAAAATTTTAAAGATATCTTTAACAAATAATTTTAAGACTAGAGATTGAGTTTCTTTTTCTGGCTGTAACACTAACTAGGCATCTAAGCTTAGGCAAGTTACTTCCTCACACAGGGCTGGGCACGCCGAAACACTGATCAAGTGCATGGAGTCTAAGAGTGTGATTGACCCCTGCTCAGCCCATTGGCCTCAGAACTTTCTAATGAGCTGAATTTGAGCAAGTTACTTCACCTCTCGACTTCCCAACTTATTATTGACTTGCTAGTTCTTTTATTGACTATATGTGTGGCTCTACATGATATATTTAAATCTCTGTTTATTTGTACCATCAACTTTAAACAGATCACTGGACCTCGATCTTTGTAAAATGAGAATATTAGGCCCCCTGCCATCTTCCCTTCCTACCTTCCTTTCAGCTCTTGCAGCTGTACCAGACTTTTATGTTGTAAAGGGTGACGATATTTGTATATTGTTATCTAACTATAAGCCTTCTGTGCGTTGTTTGTAGATTGGTTGTAAAGTTGAAAAACATTTAGTAGTTGTATTATTTTAGATTTTGCAGGTATTATCCACTGCAGAGCCATGTAGCATACTTAGGTTATATTTTCTTCTCTTTGGTTTCAATATCATAATAATTCTGCTACTCAGGGAGAAATACTTCTGTTGTCAAGATTATAGATTCTCCTTCCTTATACTCTAATTTATAAAAATCATTTCACAAATCCTCTTGACATTCCTGCCTTCTGTCATTGGAGTGATTATTTGTCCACTGCAAATCAAGAGCCTCTACAGAGTTCTTCCAGGCAGATCTGCTTCAGGATGTCTTAAGAAATAAATAGAGGTGGGCCGGGCGCGGTGGCTCAAGCCTGTAATCCCAGTACTTTGGGAGGCCGAGGCGGGTGGATCACGAGGTCAAGAGATCAAAACCATCCTGGTCAACATGGTGAAACCCCGTCTCTACTAAAAATACAAAAAATTAGCTGGGCATGGTGGCGCGTGCCTGTAATCCCAGCTACTCAGGAGGCTGAGGCAGGAGAATTGCCTGAACCCAGGAGGCAGAGGTTGCGGTGAGCCGAGATCGCGCCATTGCACTCCAGCCTGGGTAACAAGAGTGAAACTCCGTCTCAAAAAAAAAAAAAAAAGAAAAAAAGAAATAAATAGAGGTACACACTCCACTGGTAGAAATTTTCATTCATTAAATTTGGAGTGGGGCCTAGAAGACTCCCCAGGTGACTATGTATCCATGCCAAGCTTGGGCACATCCAGGTTACCAGCATAGACTTTAGCAAGCATTTATAACTTATTTGGCCAACAGAATGTTGAAGATCTTTTTGAGTTCTAAGATTTGCCATGGGATGGGGGCAGTGGCTCATGCCTATAATCCCAGCACTTTGGGAGGCCAGGGCAGGCAGGTCACCTGAGGTCAGGAGTTATAGACCAACCTGGCCAATGTGGTAAAACCCTCTCTCTACTAAGGATACAAAAATTAGCATGTTGGCATGTACCTGTAATCTCAGCTACTTGGGAGGCTGAGGCAGGAGAATCATTTGAACCCAGGAGGTGGAGCTTGCAGTGAGCCAAGATTGTGCCACTGCATTCTAGCCTGGGCAACAGGGTGAGACTCTGTCTCCCTGCAAAAAAGATTAACCATTACTTGAACTTCAGGGAAGATTAAAGAGATACATTGAGTAGGCCATGTGTTGAAGTGAGATATATTATATATAATATAATATATGGAAGGACTCAAAAGCATTCCAAAGGTTTGATAAATTGGGTAGACCAGTTTTGATGTCATGAAATCCCTCCCTTGATGAAGCTGTTTCTTGTTAACTTGGAGATAATGTGTATATTTCAAGATCAACAAAATTGAAACCTGAAACCAAAGTTAAAAATGTGTTTGTATCCTTTATGTGACTTGTAATTCGAGGAAGGTATGAGAGCTCCTCTAGAGGAATAACTTTGTATTGGAAGCATCACATCAAAGCTGTTACTGTGTTTTATGGCTTACACATCTACCTTTTAAGCTTAATAATAGGTTACCTCGTAAAGCACTTTTTTGTCTACCGATCACTTTTACATGCATTTTAAGATATGAGAAACATCTTACCCCAAAATGTTTCTGTGTGTACCTTGGTTATAGAACAATGGCATGCTAAGCCTTCTAACTTGTGGGCTGAGACATCTAAGGACAGATTAAGGAGAGCTGTGAGGAAAGGAGGGGGTGTGGGTTGGAAGAGAAGGGCAGAATGCTGAATTGGTGTGATTCATGCCCATCAGCAGCTGCTGAACTAAGAAGCCAGGGAAGTTCTGCTCTCTGAAAATTGCAGGCCAGCAACTCAGGTTAATTCATGTGCTGGTTTGTCATTATGCTATAAAGACAAATTGATTTGTTCTCATTGTGTATGCCTGTGTTGAAGCCTCCAAGATTTTTCCAGGTTCCATTTGCTAGGACGACACAGGACTGAGTATAGGGTTCTCCTTATGGCTGTGATGTGCTACAATGAAAGAATCAGAGCCAAATCAGCAAAGAGGAAAGGCACATCCACTTAGGTATCCTGGAAGCACTTTTTCCTGTCTTCTCAGCCAAGCAGGTTTAAAGTCTGAGTCAGTTTTTGCTTTATTTATATCCAGTAAGTGGCCAATGCCAATTGATCCTACCTCCTATGTTTTCTTCTAGGAGCTTTGTAGTTTTAGCTATTACATTTAGTTCTATGATCAATTTTGAGTTAATTTTTATATATAGTGTGAGGTAAGGGATTCAGATTCATTAAATGTCCAGCTATTTCGGCACCACTTGGTGAAAAGACTATTCTTTCTCCCACTGAATTGCCTGGCATCTTTGTCAAATCAACTGACCATAAATGTGAGGTTTATTTCCAGAAGCATTCATTACTAGTATAGGCACCCAGGCACCCTGTTTTCCATATGATGCAGTACTCAACTGTGCCTATCATCTCCCAGGCCAGGTAACATTTCAGCTGTCTAGAGAAAAACTGTTAGACTTCTGCCATGGTAGGAGAAAGGCAGCCACCCAGGAGGATGGAGTTGGGGAGGAGATCTGGGGATTTAACTGCCTCTTAGACATCGTTCATGCAGTCTGCCTTACTTTCAGTCCCTACCTTTTATTCCCCTTTCCAGAGGTACATGGTGTTGCCAATTCCTGAAACTTAGAAGATTCTGTGCTGTAACTAGAGTGTTTATCCACTTTTACCCCTTCTCCGTTGATGTTTGTCTCAGAT